CAAGGCCTCTGCTCGCCAGAGAGAATCAGACAGAAAGTGAGAAATCACTCCTCACGGAAGATGGCCATGCTACAATCCATTCTCCATGCTCCTTCTGGGATTTTGGGTGTACACACACACACACACATGTGCCAACAGGATTTTCAGGCTGCCAAGTCTGGTCTTAATCACCATACCACCTACTGGCCCTGAACATAGTAAATTTTAATCCATATTTTCCCAGCTGAAAGGTATTACGTACAAATAGGCAACATCCTTGAATGCAGCTTTTCATCTGTTGTCAGTGCCTAAATCTTGTAGCATGTTCATTTCATAAATTTAGGCCAGATTTCACATTTAATCTCTTATAGGTTCTAGCTTATTTAGATTTATTAAAAGGTCCAGTATGTCCATTCTAATAACTATAAGATAGAATTTGAACTTCAGTCCTTAAAAGTCTGGTCAGGGTTCATCAGGTGGTGTGGTGCTTAAGGCAGCTGCATCCCACATGACCTAGTGTTCAGTTCAAGTCCCAGACCTGGCAGCTTGAAAATCATACCAGGGGGCTGACAGGTGATGTGGTGGTTGAGGTGCTGGACTCCCAACATGGCCGACCACAGTTCAAGTCCTGAGCCTGCTGGCTTGCTTTCTCACTTCTCTTTCTCTCTCACTTCTCTTTCTCACTCACTCTTCTGGTCAAATTGAATAATAATGATTAATAAAATAAAATAAATAATTATTTTTTAAAAAGAAGAAGAAAAGAAAATTTATACCAGGTACACTTGTGTGCCCAAAGGCCTTCGATAAGAGTATGAAGAAGGGATTATGGGATGTGGCCATCCTCCTGGGGGAGTGATGGCTCTCTTTGTTTCCAGCAAATGTAAGCATCTTATAGCAAAACTAAAAAATATACTGATACTTAGCTGAGAAAGTTGAAACATTTTCAAGGCCTAGATGTCATAAAACAGGGTTTTAGTTTTTATTTAAGAGGTTTTCATTTGCTCGGAAATAGTTTCATTATTTTTTCTTCCCAGTAAAGTAATTGTGTTATTTTCACAGTGGCATGGCAGAGAGAAATGCTAATTTCGAAGCCCTTCCTGAAGATTGGCGAGCAAGACTGAAGAGAAGGAAAATGGCTCCAAACACATAATTTTAAACCTTTTTTTTTTTTTTTTTTTAATTTTTTTGTTTTGTGTCAGTTCAGAGTCTTAACCAGTTTTTTTATTGTCAAAGTATAAATGTTATGGGGGAGAGCATATGAATTCCTGGGCAAGAGCATACACTTGCAGAGTTTTCACATTTGTGAAATGGAGACTTTCTGTTTGGCTGAAGGTGAGGTGCTTGGAATTGCTTTGACCTGGCTGCCTTTCTTCTCAACACTGGCAAACTTAGCATGTTAGCCAGAATAACATCATAGGTCTGGAAGAACATGGGGCTCATGGGTGTGGCACCTCTGGAGAGGACTCCCTGACAAAACGTGAAGGATTTTTCTGCCTGCTGGAGGCCTACTTAGTTGCTCGTGTGGCATGCTCTCTCTCATTAACTTCCACTCCAGAACAAGTGCAATTAAGAAGGCAGCTCTGTGTCTACCTTGCTGGACTGGGATCCTCAGGATCTCTCTGACCTCGTCCTCTAGTCTGCCACCCCCGAAGTGCTGAGGTCTGTTCAGTGGTTTACCTTGTGCTGATTGTTGACCACACTTTTCAGAGTAGTTCTTTCTCACAAATTCTAGAACTGATAGCCCAGTCATTTCACACTCTAGGTGGCATATTTAAATTTTAATACAGGCAGCAGCAGGTGTTCATATCCTTGGTTTTGAGAAATTTCCCCTTGAGTATGTGGCAGTCGAGGTAAAAAGCCACTCTCATGTATTAATGTGTCTCCATTGTCTTACTCTGTTTTCAAATTCACCTCCTTTCTCTGTGTGAATGTACTTTCCATAAAATTCCAGTATTTAAAAAGCAGTTACTGTTCTGTACTTTCTATTGTATCACAATCAGGTAAAAGTCACTTTAAACTGAAGAAAAGGCAAATTGAGTCTTAAAGCTGTTTGTATTTCTCCAGTTTCTGACCTTGTAAATTTGTATATATGCACTAATAAAGCTTTTTTTTATACTTCTGATTTGTTATCCTTTTGCTCTTCTAAGCCTATTATTCCATGATTATGTATGTATGCAACCAGGACTTATTTCAAGTCAGTTCTTATTTTAAGTCATTTGTTTTTTTCTAATTAAATATGGTGCAAGGCATGTGCAGACATTGAAGACTAGCTTTCAGGAAAAA